ATATAAGCGTACAAGCTACAAACACCCGTCAATCAATTACCTGAAACAACAACCACTGGCTTAAACTACACGAAACATCACAGTATTTCACGAAAGGGTTACACTGTACCACACCGTCGCTCACACCTTCATGACTAGGCTAGGTGCCCGAAGCAACACGAAATTATCATGTGGGTTGTCTAACGCCGACATTTTTGGTGATAAAAGCTTCACACTCTATATGGCTTATCCGGTTAAGTAATGTATACTCTCTTGCTTGAGATACGAGTGTGTTATTTCTTTGCATAGTTAGAAGGCGTACTTCTTCTAAGGTCTGCACGAGCCTTAAGTCTGTACGGCAACCTGTCTTTCCGTTTAGAATAGACTGATCAGCAGAACGAAATGTTTATGTTCTTTGCATAGTGGTCATTTCCTGTCCTTTTGATAGTTTCGTTACTCACGCACGCACTCTCTCTCTCTCACACACACATACATACACATACACACACACATACATACATACACACACACACACACACACACACACACACACACACACACACACCACACACACACATATATATATATTATATATATATATATATATATTATATATATATATATATACATATATACATATATATACATACATATATATATACATATATAATAACACACACACACACGCCCACATATATATGTATATGTATATATATAGAGTGAAATAATAAGAGAAAGAGAGAGGAGAGAGGAGAGTGAAAATGAGATAAAAAGAGAGATGGAGGAAGGAAGGGAGAGAAGGAAACAAAATAAGAGAGTGAGTGAGTGAGTGAGAAAGTGAAAGAAAGAAGGAGAGAGTGAGGAGTGACTGAAAGAAGGGATGAGCGAAGGGGAGGAGCGTGGAGGGATTAAGGGAGACAAAGAGGAGAGAGAGAGAATGGGAGATGAGAGAAAGGAAGGGAGAGAGAGAGAGAGAGAGTGGGATGACGAGAGGAGGGAATGAGTGAAAGAGAGCATAAAAAGTAAGAAAGAGAGAGGCATGGTAGCGGAGGAGGGTTGAGGGAGGAAGGAGAGAAAGAGAAAAAAGAGAGAGGGGATGGGAGCGAGATAGATAGAAGAGAGAAAGGAGGGAGAGAAGGGGAGAGAGAGAGGAGGGAGGGAGGAGGGAGAGGAGGGAGGAAGGGAGTGAGAGAGAGTGGGAAGGGGAGAGGGAGAAGGAGAAGAGACAGGGGAGAGAGAGAGAGGAGAGAGAGAGAGAGAGAGAGAGAGAGAGAGAGAGAGGAGAGAGAGAGAGAGAGAGAGAGAGAGAGAGAGAGAGAGAGAGAGAGAGAGGGAGAGAGAGGGAAGAGGAGAGAGAGAGAGAGAAGAGAGAGAGAGAGAGAGAGAGAGAGAGAGAGAGAGAGAGAGAGAGAGGAGAGAGAGAGAGAGAGAGAGGAGGAGAGGAGAGAGAGAGAAAGGAGAAGAGGGAAGGGAAGAGAGGAGAGGAGAGAGGGAAGGAGAGAGGGAAGGAGAGGGAAGGGAGAGGGAGGGAGAGGGAGAGGAGAGGAGGAGAGGAGAGGGAGAGAGAGGAGAGAGGAAGAGAGGAAAGGGAAAGATATGTATGCATAAATATATATAATATATATATATATATATATATATATATATATATATATATATATATATATATATATATATATATATATTTTTTTTTTTTTTTTTTTTTTTTTTTTTTTTTTTTTTGTCAATGTAAGTGTTGTTATATAACAGCTCATTTCAAAGGCGAAAATTGACACATTCCCTCTCCACAGAGATAAGTGTGTTGTCAAAATAACGATTGTTAAAAGATGGCCTGTAAAGTTTATATATACATGCACTGAACACTTACTTTCAATTTTCTCTCAAAATCCCAAAGGTGGTAATGGCTGTTCTCTCGGCGGAACATACGTCTTTTAGAACATGACATTCGAAGAAATTCTTAAGCAAATAATAAAGCTAGTAGTGAACTTGTACTCCCCCTGTCTCTGTCTGTCTGTCTGTCACTCTCTCTCTCTCTCTCCCTACATGTCTCTGTCTGTCTGTCTCTCTCCCTATATGTCCCTGTCTCAGTGTGTCTGTTTGTCTGTCGGTCGGTCTCTCTCTCTCTCTCTTTTAACTCCTTTTCCTATGCTATCTCTCTACCTATCTAATTTAGTCATCTGTTAATCAGCCCGGCTTGTAAATACCTAAAGTTCTTGCTTTATCTCCTCCTTTCCACGGAGCGTATCCTGAGGCGCCAGTTCGAAAACATCCTGCCAGTTTACTGCATTTGTTGAAATATGATTTCTTCTCATGCTCTTTATTCTTATTATTTTAATTAGTTTTTAAAATAAAATAGTTTGTATAGACTATTAATCTTTTATCATTTTATTGCTATCATCAAAATGGCTGATTATCATTAATGTCATCAGTATCTTTTGGATTGAAGACTGATAAATATACATTAACGGTTAAACAGTAATAAGTCAATATTTTAGTAATAATACTAACGTAAAATTCATTACAGTCAAACTTCATCCAAGGGTAATTTTACTCCCGAAGTAAAGTGATATATATATTTTTTTCTTAAAAACTTACTATTGTCAACCCTCCGCAAAGATTTGGAAACGCTGACATTTTTTTAAATTCTTATTCTACGAGTTCTTAACAGGGTGATGTTCAACATCGTTATTGTATCTTTATCATTATGGTTATTGTCATAACAATATTGATATCAATGATAATGATATCTTATTATTATCATTAGGTAATTTTTTGTATTACGTCCGCCGCTCCGATATCGACGATTTGGTTATCGTTGGATTCCTCTCACTCTTTACAATGCGAATATGTAGGTTTTATTGCGCGGAAACCCCCCGTTAGCGACAACCTTGGCCCCGATAGCAGGGGCGACGGTGTAGGAGCGGCGGACGTAATATATAAAATTACCCTAATAATATAACACCACAGTGAAAATAATTATGGTTAATCACATGACTTTCCATGCGATCCCCCCTGGGAGGAGTCACGAGGAAGCAAAATCTCCACCACGTATTCACGGCAGGATAGAGCGCACACGAACTAGATGCGGAGCCGATAACCTGTAATAACCTAGGATTTTTAAGGTATTAACCTGATTGATAGATGCCGCTAATAGTAGGGAGGGTGCTCCTTTGCCGCAGAAGGTGAAGGAGGCATGTCATAATGTGGACAGTGAGAGGAATCCAACGATACCAAAATCATCGATATCGGAGCGGCGGAGGTAATATAGAAAATTACCCACAACTCTAGCATTTCTTCCTGGCTGGTCGCTATTTCGCGCAGGAAATCCGTCTCCGAGTACGAGCACCCTCCACACTCGGCCATCGCGGCGGCTATGGCGAAGTACTGAACGCGACGGTTATTTCGGTTAGGAATACGGATGTCGTTGTTCCAGAGGACGGGAAACTCGACCTTGAGGCCATCGGTGTAACATCGAAAGAGGGGCAAAACCCGCCTACGAGGGCGGGCCACCCTGTTCATCCTGATTATACTACAATCGCCTCTATATACAATGCTGACTATGCCAAGGTTAATATGCTGATTCAGTGGGAATCTTACGAGGTAATTGTAATATTACGCCCGCCGCTCCGACATCGACGATGGTTGTGTAACGCTCCATCCTGCCGGGAATACGTGGTGGAGGTTTTGTTTCCTCGGCAGGGGTTGGGGGCGGCAGCCCCCTGCAATAGAAAGTCATGTGAATAACCATGGTTATTTTCACTGTGCGTTATATTATTAGTGTTATTTAATCCCGCATTTTCCCTGGAACCTTTCATGCCCTCCCCTGCTATCGGGGCCAAGCTTGTCGCTAACGGGTGGGTTAGCACAATAAAAACTATATATTTATAATGTGGACAGTGTGAGGATTCCAACGATACCAAAATCGTCGATATCGGAGAGGCGGACGTAATATAGAAAATTACCCATCTTTTCATTAATACTAATAACATTATTGTTGTTATCACTATCATCAAAATAGTGAGTAGAAAACTGTAAATATATTAAATAAAGTAGCGTGCAACGATCTCGAGTGAGGTAGGGTTAAGCATGCATTTTTTACCTGTCTTGACTGACAACAAGCAATGGCGGATCTAGCTTATATAGTCAACCAGCCTATTCCTGATTCTTACTTTTTAAAATACTGCCAAGAACAAGTCTTACCTTTTTTTATCGATTCTACCTTTTCACTTTTTTTTCATCTTCGTAAATACTGCCAAGCTACATTTTTACTCTTTTATCGATTCCTTTTTTTCTATTTTAAATACTGCCAGACAAACTCTTTGCATTTCTAGTACCAGTTTCCGGACCAATAAAGAAAACATACACGTGGAAAAATGAAATAAAAAAAAATAAATAAATAATAATAATAAGAAGAAAAAACAGCAGGAGGCCAACGCTCATGGAATTCAACGAAACTGCATAACAAATCTTAATAATAATAATAATAATAACAACAACAACAACAACAACAACAAAACAAACAACAACAACAACAACAACAACAACAACAACAACAACAACAACAACAACAATAATAATAATGATAATGATACTACTACTACTACTACTACTAAGAACAACAACAATAACAACAACAAAACAACAACAACCATAATAATAATAATAATAGTAATAATAAAAGACAATAACATTACGAAAATAATAATAAAAAAATCATTCAAATAACAAAATAATAATGACAATGAAGTAATAATGATAGTGATAAAAAAAAAATAGCAATAAAAATAAAAGTATAATACCAATAATAATATGACAAGAGAAAATACCTTTAAAGAATAGTGCAAACAGGTGAAATCAGGTACTTGAGTAATTAAGCGTCGTTAGGGGTGTTAAGGCCACACAAATGAAAGTTCCTGTTTTGCGTAAAAACAAACAAACAAACAACAACAACAACATGCAGCTATTTTACATTATTCATCACTTATTTCTACAAGCATTTAGAGAAGAGAAGAGCAGATTTTTAAGGTCGTCAAATCTTTTTAATTCTTGTGGGTGATTATGACTATTTTCGTTTCTTATTTACTAGTAAAAGTATTCTCTTTAAAAGCATGACAAGAGAACAGCTTTTCAAAATAATCAAATCATGTATCTGGGGGAATAATGAAATTCTATTGAAAATAATGGCAAGGGAATAGCTTTTTAAAGTCATCATTTC